TGAATCAAGTTAGTTATGGTCTGTTCATAGACATAAGAAAGTGACCAATTGCTTTTGAATGGGATCATCCACGGGTGGTCATTAACATACAATGCAACCAGATTATTACCTAAAGTTTCGGAATTTAAATTCAGATAAAATTGTGGTCCGTAATAGAAAATAATTTTATACCTACCTGTGTTTAATATTCTTTGGTTTGGTATACTACTTAGTTTAAGTTTATTAGTGATCATTCTTATTTGGTGTGTGGAATCGTGTGCGAATTATGCAAAATATGTGCGAGTCTAGTGTATCTCGAGAGATGCTCCCGCCCAAATGTAGAAAACACTATTCTATTGAGACTAAGGATGTTATAAACAACGTTTATTTGACTCTTATTGAACGTGGTGCTAGCAAGCAAGCATCGTTAGAAGAAACGGCCACATTGACGAAAATTCCAACATCGACTGTATAGACAATTGTAAATAATCCCAAGAAAAGAAGAGATGCTGACATTTTCTCGAGTGTAGATGAAAGTGATCAAGATATAATACCAGTTATACGAGGAACAAAGCGTGCCCACATTATATTAAATTAGGAGGCTCGAAACCGTTGTTAAATGTGACAGAACTACCTTATGGAAGTGTATTCAACACATGGGTTTTAGATTTTAAAAAAATGACAAAAGGCAAGTTTTAATGATATCTTTTAGATTTCGGAAATGGCGACTGGAACATCTAGAGAAAATTAGGATTTACAGAGAACAACAAAGGCCAATTATTTACTTGGATGGAACCTGGTTCGACACTTATGATACCCAGGAAAAAGGTTGGGTTGACTCAACTGATAAGTGTAAAACAAACGCGCCACCAAAAAGAGGTAAAAGAATAACTATTTTGCATGCTGGCTCTAAAGATGGTTGGATTCCAAATGGACTTTCTCCGTCTGCGAAAAATATTAAAGATTCTTCTCTGGATCACCATGAAGACACCACCGCTGATTTATTTGAAAGTTGGTTTAAAAACAAACTGGTTCCAAACATTCCTCCTAACAGCGTAATTGTAATGGATAATGCAAGTTATCACAGTAGACAGTTGACTGAAACCCCTTCCTCATGTGACACAAAAGCAACAATCCAAAACTACATGTATAATAACGACAGGTTCTACAAAGCTTTTTTTTTTTTTCCGTAGCGTCACAACCCTTCGTGGGTCTTAGCTGCATCTACGACTCGTCTCCATCTGTCCCTGTCCAACACAACCTCCTTCCAGTTCCGTACTCCCAAGATTTTTACATCCTCTTCGATATTGTCCCTCCATCTGAGCCTTGGTCTTCCTAAGGGTCTCTTTCCTGCTGGGTTTTCTTCCCATATCCTCTTTACAAGACGTTCATTCGGCGATCTCTGCACGTGTCCAGCCCACCTGAGCCTTTGTGCTTTTATTTCGTTTACTAAACTCGGTCTTTTGTACATGTCGTTAAGCTCCGCATTCGTTCTTATTCGATATTGACCCGTTCTCTCATCTATTGTTGGTCCAAAGATTTTCCGCAACATCCTTCGTTCAAAGCGTCTTAACACTAGTTCGTTCTGCTTTGTCATTGTCCATGTTTCCGAGCCATACATTACGATTGGCTTGATTACTGCCGAATATATCCGTAGTTTTGAGTTCCTAGATATCAGTCGGGACTTAAACAGGTTCTGCAAGGCGAAAAAACATTTATTGCCCTTTTGTATTCTTGCTTTTATTTCGCTGGTGATATCGTTATCCGAAGTTATAACTGCTCCTAGGTACTGAAATTGGTTTACGCATTCAAAATTGTGGGTGTCCATGGTTATGTTCTCTCCTATTCTGCCCCTTCCTGCTCTCCGTCCGGCCCACATATATTTGGTCTTGTCCTCGTTGATCATGAGTCCTACCTTCTTGGTCTCCTTCTCTATGTTCATGAACATTTCTTTTGTTTTAATCGTACTGCTTCCTACCGTATCAATGTCATCGGCATATGCCAAAATCATTTCTGGGCCCTTATTTGTAAATATTTCCAAGCCAATATTCGCTTCTTTGATGGCCATGTCCAGCACTATGTTGAAAAGCAATGGTGAAAGTCCATCGCCCTGTTTTAGGCCATTCTTAATGGAGAATGCCTCGGTGTTGTTCTTTCCTACCCTAACTTTGGCTTTAGAGTTTTCTATGCATATCTTGGTTAGCCTTATGATCTTTTTTGGTACCCCTATGCCTTCCAACGCTTGCCAGACACTTTCCCTGGTGATGCTATCATATGCTTGGCGGAAATCTACGAACAGTTTGTGAACCTCTCTGTTAAACTCCCAGCTTTTCTCTAGGAGCTGTCTTATGGTGAATATTTGATCTGTTGTTGATCTCTTGGGTCGAAACCCGCATTGGTAGTCCCCTAAGTTGTCTTCTGCGTATGGGGATATGCGTCCTCTTAGTACATTTGACAGAACCTTGTATGTTATATTTAGCAGGGTTATTCCTCTATAGTTTTTACAGGCCATCCGGTCTCCTTTCTTATGAATGGGGACGATGGTACCCTCATTCCACTCCTTTGGTAGGGCTTCTGTTTTCCATATGTTTTTCAACAGCTCTAGTATGGCAGTATCTAGCTTGAACCTACAAAAGGAATACGTCTGTGATAAATATGCAAAAACTACAGGTTTAAGGCTTCCATCTTACCACAGCATATTTAATCCCATTGAACATGTTTGGCAACAACTGAAATCTGCCATTCGGCATAACAATGTTTTTCCCCGTGTTAACTCCAATGTCCTCAAACTTATAGAAATCGAAGTTTTTAACATCCCTCCACAAAGTTGGGCAAATTCTGTTAAACATATAGAAACAGCAGAACAATCGAAGAACAAATAATAATTAGAACAGGCGATGATAGCGATAGTGATACTGGTACATTATGTGAATAATTTTAAATAATTTAAGTAGGTAATAAAAATAATTTGGAATTTTATGTTAGCATTTAGAGCATTTAAAGAAGCAAAAAAGCAGGAAACTTGCTTGGCTGGGGTCAAGAGATACCGAACAATCAAAAAGATTCTCTGCCAGTTTTATTGCAGACTCCCAATCGGTAAAACTGGCCAAAACTAACCGAAACCTTACTATAAAAAAATTGAAAACATGTACACAATACAGTACAATTAATAGATAGAGATTTTAATGTGAACCTGTGCTTCTTAAATGTTTCTTCAGCTTATTGTACATCGTCTTTGGTTCACCTTTCAGTACAATCTGTGTTTGTAGCTCTGGATATATCTAAATATCTAAATGGATCGAGGAACTACAAATACAAAAATATTTTTACAAGAACCATTTAGATATTTAGACATATCCAGAGCTACAAACACAGATTGTACTGAAAGGTGAACCAAAGACGCATGTTTACTTAGTACAGCTCGGAATTTAAGGACCCTTAACTTAATTCTCTCAAAATTTTATTTATTTTTAAAAATGGATGTTTTCTAGCTCAATGCTCAGTTTACACAGTCTCATATACTTAGCTTGTTAGCATTTATAATGTTTGTAACTTCCGATAAGCTGCAGACAAGAACTGAAGCAAACATGCAAAACTATGAGTATGAGAACAGTGCTACTCTAACGCTAACTTTTAGTTCACCACTACTATGATCGTTCAAATAAGTACATCGCTTCCCATTAAAGAACTTTTCAGAAGCTCGAAGCAACACATCCTGCATTTTTTATCAAAGGCCTGTTTCGAGTCTACAAGCACAGCAACAGCAAAGTTGTTTTTGTCGGTTAGCCCTGAGATCCAGAAGATCTCTGTTCCCAAGGAAACCATACTGAATGTTTAAGTCCTCTTGGTATTATTTTAGCAGTCTTGAGTCCCTCTGGGTAAGATAATAAGGGCGCCTTCCACAAAACTAAGGCTATGATGATGGATAGCGGAAAAATGGGACCACCAGGAAAAAACCCGACAGAAGAAGTACAAATGATGAAGAAGATGACATTCCGAGGTATAGCAGTCACCGCTGTACTTTTTCTGAGCTAGAATTTTAAATGATTTTTACAAAGTACGATGGCGGTGTTAGTAATACTATAAGTGAAACCAATTCAACAACTAAAAGCGTTACCTATTTGAGCAGCTACTCTGAAACAGATGAATTTAAGACTATCGAAAACAGACCTTTCGATCCAGTCATCCCGCGTAAACACAAATACAGATTTGATAAGACAATTAGCTTTAGCTTCCGATCCTCCAAGAGAAGTTATGTTAAGAAAACAAAGCGCTTTAGTTTCAGACATTATAGCTTACATTATAATTCGAGAATCTTCAGATTACCAAACTGATCATCATAAAATTCTGATGATTCCAGCTAAATTACAACTATTAAGATAAAGCCAATATAAATTAGAGATAGGTTTTGTTATTTTAACACGTTTTTGTTAATTTTTGTTTGGTTTTTGTTTGTCTATATTATTTAACTTTTGCTTGTTTAAATTTTAAATTTCTGTTGTAATAGAAATGACGCAATTGACACGTGCATATTTTATATTTAAGGTGTTTCATATATTGCTAGGACCTGCAAAAATTTCCCATGTCTAATTTTATATTTCATGCCAGATGTCCTTTACAATGTGGAACTGTGTAGAAATTTAAAAAAAGTTTCAAATTATTTTTTTAACTAATAGTAGAGTTATGTAGATTTGTGTTGTATGTAAAAAAAACGTCCGTCATACTTAACTGAAATTATTTTTTTTGACAAAACAATGATTTTTGTCAGTTTTTCCCTATTCCGTGGAGCACTGTGCTTCCCCGTACTCCTGCTTTCTGCTGATCGCGGTTTATTTCGCGACAGCGCTTCGTATAGGGGGTGTTGAGGCCAAATCTGGTATATTCTCGCGCGCCACGAGAATTTCTAGTGGGCGAGAGGCGCGCGATCGTCGTTTGTTTCGGCGCGAACCGCCGCACACTTGGACGTCGCAGGTCGTGCCGTCGACGCGCCGAGGCCTACTGGGATTTTTCCGCGACTTCGGGAAAAGTGCGCTCGTTATTTGAATCGTTCGGCGGGGAAGAGGTCCGTGACTGTTTCGTTTTCAATTTTTTTGGTTCTTTCGGTCGTTCCCGCCCACATGGGTTTCCGGCGGCTGTTTTTCGACGGGACTTGACTGGAATCAGGTAACGTAATTAATTAATTACTTAGTTTAACCTCGAGTGCCATTCGGTAGGAAAATTTCACACAGATTATTTTTTAAATTCGGGTTTTGACAATTTTTATTCTGTTACAGTTGACTTTGTAAACTACTTTGCCGCTATGTCAAAAATGATTGTTTTACAAAAAAAATTCGATAAAATTCATTTTGATTGGTTAAAATTTTCAACTAAATACAAAAAAAAAAACTTAATAGTAACTAGTTAACTGGCTTCAGAGAAATTCGTAAAGCTATTCTTAAAATTCTCTCTCACACTGGCACGCTACTTAAAAAGTTTACTTTATATTTCCCAAACTAACGGCAACAAATGGAACGAGATCTCAATACGTTACTGATTTTTTTTTTAAATTTTAAAATTCCTGATTTTCGAATTCAGTTTTCCGAATGGCAAGGTGTGTATGCAAAAATCGTTATTAAAATTCAATTCAATTTACACGACCTTAAAAGACGGGCGTGACACAGACGAGAGGGAGTCGAAATTAGAATAAAAAAATATATAATTCGATACGTGCGAGATATGCTAATGAGCCAAATACCAATCGATCAGCCGGATTATAAGCAGACTCCATAAATTAGAAAAATATGCAAAGTAATTTGAAAAATATGACCGGTTTTTGGTTCGTCATGCCGGTTGACTAAAGCATAGGTTGGAGTTAAAAAGTTAACTCAATAATTGTTACTTTAAACTGTGGTTATAGACTTCTTCATTAAATCTCTCAAAATCTTAAAAAAAAGGTTAAAAAGGTAAACCAAGTAGTTAATATAAATTTAATATCGGCTTTATACCGCTTAGGTAAAACCCCATTATCGTGTTAAAATATCGCCGCAAGATTTTCAGCTCGTGATTATTCAAATTTATTCCTAATAAACGAAACGGCCCGGATCTCGCGCCGGCCATTTTAAAGCGTTCATAATTAGCCCCATATGTCGGCACCGACTTTTTTTTAATTTTCGAGTTAATTTAATTTTTAGCCCGTCCGACTTCCGCCGTAATCAGTTTACGAGAGTTTCAATTTGGTAATACAAACATTAACGATGACTGTTCTATAAAATAACATTTTTCGCGGTTTAATCTCCGAAACAAATAATTTTTCTTTCGTGTTTCAGGCTAAATTAGATTAATCCATTTTGTCCCAATGCTTCACCTATCCTATGATTTTTTTTGTCATATCCAGGAAATATTTTAGCACATCCATTTAGAAATTTTATTATTATCCCTACTAAAAGACATAAAACCTAATTTATGTGTAAAGGAAAGATCTTATATATGACTTCAAAAGTTAACAAAAGCGGTACATAAATTTGTATCACATTTTCAAAATAGTAAAAAAAAATATTTTGGATTTGAATTATATTTTATATTATTTTGTAAGGGGTGTTTTTTTTCGATGTATACAACTTTAAGTTGCAATAAAACAACGATGGATTATTCGATTGACATGAATTTTATTTATCCGAAAGATAATCTTGTGGCATTACATTTTAAATATGATTTCTGACATATGACCGCCACGGCTGGCGCGGATGTAGTCCAATCTGGACGTCCAATTTTCGATGACTTTTTCCAACATTTGTGGCCGCATATCGGCAATAACACGGCGAATGTTGTCTTCCAAATGGTCAAGTGGTTGACTTTACATAGCCCCACAGAAAGTAGTCTAGCGGTGTTAAATCACAAGATCTTGGAGGCCAATTCACAGGTCCAAAACGTGAAATTAGGAGGTCACCAAACGTGTCGTTAAATAAATCGATTGTGGCACGAGCTGTATGACATGTTGCGCCGTCAGGAATGAAAGAGTTAGTAATCATAGCTCTATACCGATCACCATTGACTGTAACGTTCTGGCCATCATCGTTTTTGAATAAGTACGGACCAATGATTCCAATAGCCCATAAAGCGCACCAAACAGTCAGTTTTTCTGAATGTAACGGTGTCTCGACATACACCTGAGGATTAGCTTCGCTCCAAATGCGGCAGTTTTGTTTGTTGACGTAGCCATTCAACCAGACGTGCGCTTCATCGCTAAACAAAATTCGCTTATGAAAATCGGGAACAACGGTAATCTCGTTTTGGGCCCATTCGACGAATCTACGCCTTACTTGATGAATTCATGATGAATTGCCAAACCAAACTGAGAATAAATCACTTGACAGCTGTTAAATCGGTCGCCATCTTGAACAGTAACGCCAACTTAAAGTTCTATACATAAAAAAAACACCCATTACTTTGACGATGTTACTATTTATTGTTTTTGGGTAAAGCTGTGCGTTTCGAAAAAAATGATTTTACGATTATTTGATGCAAAATGGTTTGTGAAAAATTTGTATGAAATGAAGAAGCTTTAAAAGATACCTGTCTATATAAGGGGGATAATAGTGGAGGATTTATGTACCGCAAAATATACAAAAGGTAATGGAATCACACAGATTCGTGGTTCGACTAGAATCCTGCAGACGTTTCGCCCAGATCTCACTCGGCATCTTCCGTTAGTGTTCGAAGTGTTTGTCGTCCCCAAGATCTTGCGTTTTCTGTCTCTTTCCTTCTTCCTTGAGAGTTCCAATCAGCTGTTGCCAGCTGTAGATCTAGTTGTTGACCTCCAACGCACATAGCAACTCATTAAAATACATTTTAATTCGCTTTGGACACCTGTTTAAGGCCTTTGGTTACCGTAAATCCTGCTGTTAAACCATAACTTGTTTAAAACTTGTTCCTTGATATAAGGATTTTTACCTGCTTTATTATTTCTGAGTTTATATTGCTTTGTTGTAAAGTCTGCCACACAGTTTTACCAGGGGTACGCTGTCATATGCGTTTTTGAGATCAACAATTAAGACATGAACTTCTTGATTAAATGCTCTCTTCTTTTCTATGAGTTGTGTTAGTGAGAAAAGACGATCAATTGTGGATTTTAATGCTTTTCAGCCTGCATATTCCCTTTCTATTCTATTTTTTAGTATTTTTCTATATATTCTACTAAGGGAACTTGTAACCGCTATGCCCCTATAATTGTCTCAGTTGTTTTTGTCTCCTTTTTTGTGGATAGGGGACAAGTATGTACTGCCGATGTGTTAAGGAATCTTTGGAATAAATGTCTCGATGCATGATTCGGTTTTTTACTCCCGGTCCGGGGGCTTTGCCATTTTTTAGTGTTTTACATGCTTGCTTGACCTCTGTCACTTTTATTTTTATTGTGGATCCTTGTATACTTGAATCTACTTTTAAATTGTGGCCTATCTTCAGTCGGTATCACTTCAAAGTACTGGTTCCACTCTTCGGGTGACATTTCGCTGTTCTCATGTTTCTAAGAAGTCTCCAACTTTCCATACTTTTCCTTCCTACTATGTATGTATTAAGTCTTGCGCATCTCCTTTCAAATTAATTTTCGCATATCTTTCTTCGTACTTTCGCTTGTGATTGTTTATATATCAATTTGTCTTGTCAGATTAGACAACAGATCCATAATTTACGTTGAAACATGGTTCGTTACACACGATACCAAAGGATGGGTTGATTAAACTCAAAACTATCAAACGAAAGTCAAAAGAAGTCAGAAGACGGATTCGTCCCAAACCGCTTGCTGTTGCATGCAAAGTATATTAAGGATTTTTGCTTGGATTATCATGAGGATGCAAGTGAAAGAGTCTTTTAAAAAATATTCCCAATAACAGTGTTATTGTCATAGATAACGCAAGCAACCACAGCCATCTGCTACGCAAAGCACCAACCTCATCAAGTTCAAGTTGAAAAATTCCAGGAATATTGGTTAGAAAATGATATTTATTGAGAATTTAGTTACCAAAAAGCGCAACATTTGAAAGTTCTAATTTCATATGCAATTAAAAAAGAGGCTGTGCATACTGCTTTACGTCTTCCTCCACATCATTGCATGTTTAACTCCGTAGAGCATTTGTGGAAGTAAGTAAAATCAAAGATCAGAGCCGAAAATGTTACTCCACCAAATGTTTTAGCTGTTATACTTGAATCATTCCATGGTTCCGTGAGGTTAATCTTCAAACTTATTATTGAGAGTTTCCCAGTTAAATGTTTGATGTTTCGTCACAAAAAATAACATTAAAATGTTTTAAAATAAATGAAATAGAAAATGTGTATGTCTTACAATAGCTCGACGGGAACATATTATAATAGTGTGACCCTGCATAGCCTAAAGAGCCTAAGAGGTTTTCTCTTATCAATGTGTTCCTTATGTAAATGTTTATATGAAAGGAACCGTCATTATTTTGTGTTGCTAAAGTATTTCTTTGCAAGACTGTCTCGGAGAAAGTTTAAAAATTAGCTTAAATATTCTTTTCTGCTGTACATCCACCCTTTCAGCATCACTAGCTTGCCCCCACTTCACAATGTTGTGAAAAATGTTTTATTTAATTTGCTACAAATACTATTTATGTCTTGATCCCACCTCAATGATGCATCAATGTAGGAGCCAAGAAATCTTGTGCCCTGACTTTTTTCTAAAAATGTTAAAGAGAAAATAAGGGATAAGTCATGTAGAGGTCTAATGCACTGGCCAGTAAATCCAACCGCAACTGTTTTCCCCAAATTTGTGATTAGATAATTTGGCCTGCAAACTTTATTAAATTGTTCAGCAGCAACAGAGATATTATTTATCAGCTCCTGCGCGTCATTCCCGGAGACCAACATGGACGTGTTGTCCGCGTACATGAAAACTCGACAGTTACTGTTAAAGATTCCAGGTAAATCTTTCACGTATAGGAAAAAAAGTAATGGCCCCAAAATGCCTCCTTGAGATGTGCCGAAGTTAACATCGTAATCGAACAATCATAATTGTCCTAATTAGTTTGTTTTCCAGATACAGGGTGTAAAATTTTTTAGAAATATCGCTTTTTCATTCATTACTCAAAAACCTTTAAGCTGATTTTGACAAAACTTGACAAAAAGATTTATTTTTGATTGCTTGATCTAAAAAAACGATTGATTACACCTGTGACAGTCAGTACAGTATATCATTAGATCAACCCCATGGGACGCCACTGAAATGGGTAATTTAGTTTTAGCTGCACAAAATAAAGACCGAAGCCAGCTTAAATTTCGAGTTTCAATGTCTGCAACTTCTCAATTCGGCTTATAAGTAAACTTTAAACGCGACTCGCATCGATTCGTACGCGCAACACCCTGTAGATGACTTGTGCACTGAAAATTAATGATCTATAATCCGTGCGAGGCAAATCATGTAAATGATTAGTTCCAAATGGATTTATAGAGAAAACAGATTAATTAAATAGTACGTCCATAAAGGATTTAATAACGGGATTTGGTTAATGAAATGGGACAGCATTAGCGTAATAGTAACGAGTTTGATTTCGCGACATCAAGATGACCTTTTCGAACGGATTTGCATACATTTCGCGTATTACCACACATAGGATGTGATGAATTTAAACCGCTCCAAACAGATCACATTGTTTTTGAGGAATCGTCTCTTAATTATTATTAATTTTACATTCCGCAGAATGATTATTGACTTGTCATTAAGTTGCGAGGATCACTTAAACTCCGGCTGACATTTTAAGTGATATTAAAAATAAGAGAAAAAAATGGTTAACATATTTATTTTATAGTAAAAATCAATCTAAAAAAAATAAAAAATTCAGTTAATTAAACTGAAGATATCTTCTAAAGTAAATCACAGGATAATTATTAATTTTAGTATATACGAATAAATTTATATAAAAATTAATTGTTCACTATTTAATCTAAGAAGCAAGACATCTTCCAATAGTTTTCTTTTGAATTCGTCCTTTGACAATTGAAAACATATTTCAGTGGTGAAAATGCTCGTTCAACACTCACTGGTGTCGTAGGTAAACCAATAATTTGTTTTGCATCGTTATACAATTAATTCGATGACGTTTCTTTTGCTTTCCAATATTTTCATCTTCAGATTTTGAAGAAATATTTTCTATTTGTTTTAAAAATTGCGCTATTTCTTCTTCTTCTGTTGAAGTTGATTCTAGAGATGACTCTTTAACGATGTTGTAGTTTTTGGCTATGTCAATTTGTAGTAGATAAAACTACTTTGAATCGTGGATTGCCATCTTGTCGCACAATCTATAATAGGTTAAGTTTCATTGTTTTAATTATAGTTAAAACATTTATTGTTGTTAATCTTTTAGTCACCTTTCGAGCTCTACCTATTATCGCTGCAATACAGTCTCCTTTTAACTTTAACACGTCATCTGCTGCAAAGTATGTGCAGTGCACCTTACTTCCATTTTCTTGTTCTTCATTTTCTCCAATTTCATTTTATTTTTCTGCATTTCTTTGTTCTTTGTCTTCTTGTTCGTCACTAATGATATCGCTTTGCTGCACTTTCTGCTTATCTAGCAAACTCACCGCTTTGAGCATATTTGCTGTTGTTATACTGAGTACTTGCCTCAAATCATCTCGATATTCTTTTAATACAGCCAATATATTTTTGAAATGGAAGCATGTCTTTCCTTCAATTCCCGCGTCGCCAACGTTCTTACAACTACAAATTGAACGTCGATTCCTAATATACTTCTATCGAGTCTACTTGCTCCACCCACTTTGAAAGATCTCCTTTAATTGCGATTTTATTGTCGGATCTAAAATGTTTAATATGCGGAATGGACGGCCGTTAACTGTTACCAGTCCTATACACGCTCCCTCCAACACATCAGGAGTAATGTTAACTGAAATATTGGGTTTTTGTTCATCTAAGGCAGGTTTGTATATTTAGCCGCCTTTTTTTAGTTGTTGCCGATGAATTTGACGACGGCGGTCGTGACGAACCTGCAGAAATGTTGTCAAAAATTTCTTTATGACCAGATTGTACATGTCGCTGCAAGTTTAAATTAATTTTAAATTTTTTAAATTTAAATTATGTTGAAAGAGGTCGTCAGTGGTAAAGGCATACCAACCTTTACCTGGTGGCATTATTAGCATTAAAAACAGAAAGAAGTTTAAACAAAAGGTGACGAATGGTTTCACACTTTTAATTTTGTCCATTCTCCTGCCCTCTATTATCTAATTTTTTTGTTATTTTGTTGTGTATGGAGACAAGGATATAATTTCCTTTTGGGACGTCCACTATATGCGTCATAATAAATACATTGGTCGAATGTGGTGACTCCCACGATTTGTGACAGATCTTTTCTGCAGGAATATAATCTAAGCGATCGGATTAATTTATTATACGCGGAGATAGTCTTTCTGAAACCGTTTCCGATAAATATGCGGTCATAATGCTGATGTTACGCCGAATATGGTGCGGTGAGGCCATTCAAATCAAAGAGTTATCGTAGGTAAGCATACTCGAAGTCTTACAATAATTTTCTCTACGAATATGGCATAAGGAACCCGTTCAAGTACGTTACAATAAAATTACACACCGGGTATCGCGAATTTACGGCAAAAGATGATAGATAAATTAATTATTTGTTAAATTTCAGTCCACGAAGACACTGTCTAGAACTTCAAAGAACACAACATATTAATTTAAAAAAATGGCTGAAAGCGGGGGGTCCTTTATTCGCGAAATAAAATTCGTTCTTATTTTAAGCAAGGGGATGTTATTATGATAAAACAATATAACTCATTTTTTACCATATACCACAAAACATTCTTCTAATGAGCATCACAAAACAATTCATTTCGTTAACTTACTTGTAGAAATTCGCTTTAAATATGATTTTACAAAGTTTCAGGACGAATAAGGAAATATGATATGATTTGAGACCTTTACATTAGGGGGCGATAAATTCGAAATGCGGTTAGAAATTTTAGAGTTACCATAACTTTATCTATTGCGGTTCGTCTACCACATTTTCTCTATCTGGGTTTTCACCCAACTCAGTATTTAATCAAAACGTTCTTTTGACATTTCCATTTAAAACTCTATATTAATCAATTTGGGTAAAAAAAAACTTAGCAGGGCCAGGGCAACATTTTCTAGAACACTCGAGGGCTCGATTCGATCAAACCAAACGACAAGAACATGAAATATAACCTGAATACTAATATTTTGAGAAGAGTTCGTCCCGATCGTTTAGCAAAATCATGCGGACGCGACGACACGAGATAATTATAAACCCCAGACCACAATTAGCGTTAAAAGCAGTTTTGTGTTCGTGCGTTCTCCTTATCTCTTTTTTTTTTGGTAGCCCGAGTGCAATTATTTTGGAACCTAAACTGACCAACTACAAACGCATCCCTGGGTATTAGTCAGTGTTCTTCTTAAACTTAAAAATCAACAAAAATAAGCATACAAAATATAAAGGGTTGAGTGTATTAAAAGTTCTGGAAAACTAAACGGATTTTTTTTTTCAAATTCGATGTATACCGTAAGAATAAACGTCAAATATATTTATTTAGGACTTCAATAAGTGCCAAGAAAGGTCATATTACCTACTGCCATGTTGATACTTGGCTTCTATAATTAACTTATACAAAAGTAGAGGTTACCTACCGAAAAAATATAAAATATTCGCTAATTCTAGAAGAATTCAAAATTTTTGCCCATATTTGATCATTTATTATCATCATTTATAAAGTTGTGACTCAAATGCCCTTTACCATACTCGTTACATAAGATATTATTACTGTGCAGTGTGCCCTCTAGCGGCCACACAGTTGCGATAGCGAATTTTCGCCTGAACCGGCGAAATTAGCGGGCGAAAAACAACTTTTTCGGTCCGTCCCGTAGAAAAAACAAATTTAAATGTTTACGATATTAATTTCGGAGTTAATATGCGACGATTAACCGCATAATGACAGACGACGGTCCGTTCGGTTCGCTTTCAATTTCGCAACGCACAAAACACCGTAATCGACATTTTCCGTTAATTGCCACGAATAATAATAAAAAAAAAAACAAACTAATTGACTCTTTCGACGTTAAAGGGTACGTGGCAATTTGCTGAAACGGTCCGGTTGGCGCAAATTCACGCATTTTTTACGTGACTATATTTGGGTACCCCCGGGTTTAACGCGAGTAAATCGCAGAGTATTGCGAACCAGGAAAATTGTATTTTAAACACAAAATGAGACGCGTCCTTGTGCAGTTATTAATTACTAAACGCCGCGCTGGTGGTGTCAAAATGCCTTTAAGGACGAAGTTATTTCGCGATTATGTAAAGAACGAATAAATACATACCTATATACGTAATGTATGCGACATAAATCAACCACCAGATAAGGCTGTCCTCAGTGAATGCCATGCGTGTAACCGACCAATTGCAATGGTACACTAAACTTGCGTGCATAGAAATCGGCCCAAATTTATTTCTGGTTTTTAGGTTAAGCATAATTAAACTAAATTAACTTTTTTTTATTACTAAAAACAAATAGGGTTGCGCTAATAGCATCTCTTATTGGATTAGGCATACTCTTCCTCTACTGCAACAATAAGCTTTGGCATCGACGTTGGGGTACGTAGTCTAGCCCGAATTCACCGTTTTAGCTCATCCCGTAAGTGACCGATCGGATTGAGGTCAGGACTGCATGCTGGCCACTCCATAACTCGAAAACCGACTTCTCTAATGTAATCTTGCACGATCGTTGCGGTGAAAAAATGAAGTCTTCATCAATTTATTCATGTCAAAATATATAATTTCGTGAAAATCTGAACTTTTAGTTCTTATTTGGGTACCCGAAGATCCGTCGTTGACCATCTGTTTTGCGTCATCCAGCTTATCGAGAAAATGTCAGCCTTCAATAAGGAGATACATCTCCTGTTCGTGGATCTGAAGAAGGCATACGATAGCATACCGCTAACAAAACTTTGGGAGGCATTAGACAAGACAAACCTAAGCGTCAACATAATAAGATCAGTAAAGAACTATATAGAAACTGTGACATTAAAGTCAAGGTCGGCCAAAAAATATCCAATGGATTTACACCCAACAAGGGACTCGAACAAGATATATCTTGAACAAGCGTTAAGGATATGGAAGCAAAAATGCAGAAATATGGGCATTCCCCTCAACAATGCAAACATATACACCCTAAGCTTCGCAGATGACCAAGTCATAATGGCGCAAGACTACGATGATGTAGAATACATGATGCGAAAACTGATCGAAGAATACAAGAAATGGGGGTTGGAAGTGAACTTACCAAAGACAAAGTATATGTGTATCGGTGGAGCACAACGCGACCTCCTCTTAGAGGATGGTCAGGCTATCAAAAGCTGCGAAACCTACAAAGACCTGGGAATGTACATATCCAGCAGTGGGACGTTAGACTACGTCTTCAAAGAACGAAATAATCAATGCAGAAATGAAATTACTATGTTGAACACCTTCTTGTTGGACCAAAAAATCACGAGACGGAACAAACACCTAATATACAATACGATCATTAAAAGCATAGTCACATACAGCAGTGAAGTCTGGCCACTAAAAGAAAGAACCATGAGAACGCTGGAGGCAACAGAGATGGACTTTTGGAGAAGAGCGGCAGGAAGGTCAAGAACTGAAAGAGTCCCAAACGAACCAATTCGCACAACCATGAAGGTGGGCCACACGATTTCAGTTTTGAGTTAAAGTGGTACGGTCACGTCCAAAGAATGGAAAAAATGACAAATACTCACCTGGACACCTACAGGACGAAGGAAGAGGGGAAGACCGAGAAAGAGCTGGAGAGAGGGCATCGATAGTGAAATACAATGGAGACGACTGGACGAGAGGACCCGTGGAGGGACAGAGATCGATGAAGATTGGGAATCGGACGACGTCGGAGGACGTTTTAAAAACCATTACATTTAATATATATATATATATATATATATATATATATATATATATATATATATATATATATATATATATATATATATATATATATATATATATATATATATATATATATATATATTCTCACGTATTGATTCACGGATGGAAAAAGACACTACATTCCGGGATATCATCCGTTCGCTCGTTGAACTCCGACTAGAATCCTGCAGACGTTTCGCCAAAATCTCACCAGTGTTCGAAGTGTTTTCGGAGCGCGAGCATTGAAGATGCCAGAGATTTTGGCGAAACGTCTGCAGGATTCCAGTCGGATGCAGGATTCTAGTCGGAGTTCAACGAGCGAACGGTTGATATCCCGGAATATAGTGTCATCATATATATATATATATATATATATATATATATATATATATATATATATATATATATATATATATATATATATATATATATATATATATATATATATATATATATATATATATATATATATATATATATATATATATATAATTTAGTTTTCGATAAAGAGAGCAGTCCTAGGACATTGGGGTAAACCGCAGAGTGGTTTTCCGATACAGAAATTATTGAATTCCAAGCAGATATACTTATACCGGTTTTTAAAAGTTTTGGTTGATATTGTTAAATCGAAGAGACTTAAATTATTTATTGTATGCGCAATGCCATAAGAAAATGATCTTTTAAACATTTCTTTTCTATGTAGCGGTATTCTCAATATATATATTTTTTTAATTCAAGTCAAGTGATTTTGTTGAAAAGATATTCAGGATATTTATACTTAATTAATTTAAACTAGAATGTAGCACGGTGTAACCTAAACCTATGGCACATATTAAGCCAACTCGAAACGGATAAATATGATCCCGTCAGCGAACTCCACAAACAAGTCGTAAATATGAATTTTGTATTTTCTGGATACGATATCTTCAATTGGTTTAGTTGGAAGTAATCTCACTCTAGTCGAAAGAGATTATCATACGTTATTCGCTATTTTTTGGTATTTTAGTGACGAATTAAGAGGTTAGCGCCAAAATTTCCCGGCCTGACATAGATGCAGCTCCAGTATCACGATAATACTTTGTCTTCTTTTAAATATATATCTTAGTAGGCTGCGTAAATTATTTTATATATTGTGTTTGTGTCCAGTGGGGTGACACAGGCAGATTAGGCAACAATTTATGTGTAAATCTTTGTCTATTCGCATTTGAACGGAATTGGAAATGTAACAAGAACTAACCAAACATAAAGCGCAAAAAGGTTTTATAAATTTAACCACAACTAACCTAAAACCAACCGCAGCATCAATCAAATTGCAAATAGTGGTGAACGCCAATAGTTTTTCTAGGGTCTCCAAATATAATCCCCCGTGTCTGACGAAAATGAATCATATTTATCGGTATGTTGGTAAACTCCGCAAGCCGATACTTAAACTTTTTGCCACACAATGTTGCTAAAGTCGACAAATTAACATGATAAAAACGGAACATAATAATCGTAATAACAATTAACGGTAATGAGCGGAGTGGAAAACCATTACAAATAATTTCTTAATTAACTATTAAAGACCGGAATGGAAATTATCCCGATTGTACGAAAAGAAAAAAGAGTGGCGATATTTTTAATATTTTTTCGGGCTCGCCTCGATTGGGTATGCAAATTCTCGGACAAAAAACGCAAACAGAGCCAAGGTGGGTTCGCGCGTACGCCGAAGATTGATCGAATCGCAACGATTTAGATCTTAAAATGGCAACCCGATACATTACGATCCTTTTGCGTACTCCGACTCGGCGTATAAATACCAGAAAAAGTCGGTGGCGATTAAAAAAAAGCCCCGTAATGGACCCGGTCCGGTGCTTTGCTGCGATGTTATTTTTACTTACTGCAATCGGTAATAAAGCAAACGGGTGATTGGGTACTGCCTACATGGTGTGCAGTGGCATTCCGGCGTTCCTAAAACGTCCTCTTAACAACAAAGCGTGCGTCTCAGCGCGTAACTTGAGGAATACGTCGTAATTAAAACCTTAATTGAAAACAGGAATCTGGAAAAAAAGGCTCGAGTCGACTGAAGCGATCGACCATGTTTCTTCGGCGCAATTACGATTCGATTTTTGTTACAGTATAAAGCCAATATTCTTTGGACGGAAAAAATCTCTTTTTTTTAGGTTTTATTACTTTATATCAAATATTTTTGGAAATGCCGAAATCGTCGGTTCCCTTTGTCCCTTTTTTTTGTTCCAGCTACTTTAATATTCTATACAATATTTTGAAGCATAACAAAACAAAATGTACAATAAAAAACTACTTTAAATTAAATAATTCAACTGTAACTAACGATACATGCGGCTCGTAAATATGAACATTTGTACTGGTAATTTCAATTTAAAATTATATTTTTTCAAATATCTCGCGCCCCCTGTGTTATAGACGAAACCTTAAACTCTCTCTCGACACAGTTTACGATGCTGTTAAACTTTTTCATTTTTTTCAATGGAGTAAATGGTTTTCAAAAAACTACTTGTTTTCTGAACCCATGCAGTACTTGGTAAAAGTAAATGACGTCATCGCGTCTAGATTGAGGGCGAGAAATGATGATTTTCATTTGGATTTTTTCAAATACGAGGGGGTACGCAAAGAAAACCGGAATCATTTTTTATAAATTATATATTGTTTTGATAATCACAGAACGACCTTATCCCCTTCAAAATACTCTCCATTACAACTAATACATTTGTCCCAGCGGTGCTTCCACTGTTCGAAACATTTTTTATATTCATCTTTTCTTGACCTCTTCAATGTTGTCAAATCGCTGTTCTTTCATGTCCCTTTTCATAAGTGGAAATAAGAAGTCACACGGAGCGAGATCCGGCGAGTAAGATGCACGTGGCAGAGGAACCATGCTATTTTTAGCCAAAAATTGCTTAACAGAAATGGCTGTGTGTGCAGGTGCATTATCGTGGTGAAAGAACCGGTCCCCTGTCCGCCACAAATCGGGTCTTTTTTGTCGAATACTGTTGCGCAATCTTCTTAAAACTTCCAGATAAAAAGCTTGATTAACGGTCTCACCTGGTGGAACGAACTCTGCATGAACTACGCCGTTGATGTCGAAAAAGCAAATCGGCATCGTTTTGATGTTTGATCTGACCTGACGACATTTTTTTGGACGGGGAGACAGTGACGTCTTCCATTGGCTGGACTGTTGCTTCGTTTCTGGATCGTAACCATAACACAAAATTCGATTTCAGCGATTTTCGAAAATAACAAGTGATATGACCAAAGTTCCGAAGTCTGCTGTAAGAAAAATTGTTGCAAATGGGATAGTAAATAGGAAAGTGAGAGAAGATGGTACTTCGCAAGCTTTTAAAGAGCAATACGCAGACCTAATTAGGCGTATAATCTACGACGCTTATAAACTGAATAGTGTTTTAACCCTAGAGGAACTGCATAAAAAGTACTGACACACTTAAATAATAGCTTTGCCAAAAATACTCTAATAGAATCACAGAGATTTTCGCGAAAATATGATAATCTTTTGAAAACTGAACGATCTCAGGCATATGACATTAAGCTAAAGCTTTCTGATAATAAAACCAAATGCATGTGGTCAATATGCAATGAGATTTTGGGTAGAAACAGTTTAGGGGCTGGCGTTGGTATGAGTGAGGATCCTAATCAAATGTCAAATTATTTTAATGAATATCTGTTGAACGTTGTACCTGAATTATTGGAAAACCTAGAAAAAAGGCCGTTTTCCAATAAAATACCCGTAAATTCACAGTCCATGTTTTTAACACCGGTAACACCAGATGAAATCTGTCATTTTGCCGAACAAATTAAAAATAAACATAGTAGTGGAATAGACGAGATTCCAACCAGTATAATAAACATTTCTGTTCCGTATGTAACTATAAAAAGGGAGATCCGGAAATAATTACCAATTATAGACCAATTAGCCTTTTGCCCGGGTTTTCTAAAATATTTGAGATGGCTATTTGCAAATGACTCTTAGAGTTTTTTAATAAATCAATCAGCTTGGTTATGTAGCTAATAAATCAACAGAAACCCCTATATTTCAGTTTATAAAAACAATTTTAAAACACTTGGAGGGCGAAAGAATAACTTTAGGTACGTGCTTAGATCTTTCTAGAGCATACGACTGTATAGACAGGGACTTATGGCTCAAAAAACTGGATTTATACGGTGTAAGAGGTAATGTTCTAAAATTTTTTGAATCATACTTAATAGGAAGGAAACAACAAGTAAGAATAACCCAAAATGGCACTAGTTATTTTTCGGATATTAAGGAAAATAGTCTGGGCATAGCACAAGGTAGTATTCTTGGTCCAATTTTATTTATCATTTTTGCGAATGACTTGTATTTCGTAACACAGTCAGAAGAAGAGTGCATAATATGCTATGCGGATGATACCAACCTGCTTGTAGGTGGAAATAATCTCACTGGGGTTAGTGATAAAGCGATATTTTGGCAAGGGGTTTCTAGGAAATAAATTGATAGTAAACAAGGAGAAAACGAATTTAATTATGTTTAGAACTAAATTATGTCTAGTTGAAATGCCATTAAGAATACGGATAGGTAAAGAAAATATTAGCAGTGTAAATAGCAATAATTCTTAGGTTTACAAATTGACGAATTTCTTGATTGGTCTGAACATATTGATTATCTGCTAAATAAATTACATTCAATTTGTTATGGAATTCGAGTCGTTGCAAATTATATGAATAAGGAAACTTTAAAAGTTATGTACTTTGCAAACTTTCAGTCGCGCATGAGGTATGGAAGTAATTTTTTTTTTGGGGGGGGGGGGTAGTGGTCAACTACAGAAAATTTTCGTGGTTCAAAAGAGGACTCTTTACACTGTCAAAAAAA